AATGAGTCACAAAATACATGCGTTTCACCAACTTGTCACCCGATCCAAAATACTCGGGGTGGAATTTTGACCAATTACGTAATTCCGTAGCAAACAGCAAAATCGGCTGTTCACAATGGGGAATGTGTTGTAAAAGAGGGGAGTCAGTTGTAAGTTGGGGGAGGAGGAAAAGAAGATGACTATAAATCAGAAAAATGTGAGAGAATATGAGAGGATATGAGGGAATTGTCATGAGAAAGAGAAAAAGATGATGGATTGGAGGGATCAGGAATGTAAAGTTCATCTATATTAATGTTTTTTTTGATGTTGTTTGTATTGAGAAAAGAAGTATGCTGAGGATTTCTCCCCTTCTTCAAACCAATGAACATGAGATCTAATGGCAAGGGAGACTGTTTGTTTGTGCTGGAGTTTATAAAGGGTTTTTTTGAGATGAATTATTTTAGTATTATCAGGATGAGGAGAATGTAAACCTGTGTTTTTTAGATATAAGAGTGGGCAATACATTGCATGGGGATGATTTGATCAGGTGATTGTTGAGTATTTTAGAACTTTATTGTCTAACTACAGATAACTGCTAAAGCTAGTTTTAACATACATGCAAAGCAAGCAGAGGTACAATAAAGAGCTTGGCTAGAAAGCCCGGAATAAGATGAGGAATATAATACTAATGTTTTGAGATGTTAATGTTAATGTTAAGTTATAATGTTAGTGTTTGTTATATAGTAATAGTAATATTATGAGGTTAATTATTATTATGTGAAGGACGGAGTGTTCTAATGATAATGTTGGTGGATGGCCAGGGTAAGTATGAAGTAAATGATTTGTATGAGAGGAGGGAGATGAAGAAGGAGGAGGATTCTGGTATGGAAGATGGAGAAGAAGAAGAACCAAATGAAGTTGAAGTATAAGATCAGGTGATTGTTGAAGTACTGAGATAGAGTAGTACAATGTGATGATCATTTCGTCAAAAAATCCAAGTCTGAAACACTCAATTTATTTCATGTATTTATTTTATTGGACTTTAATAGCTGTGGTAGTTAGAAATTAGCTCTCAAAAGATATATAAACAGTCGCTATCCGACCTGATGTACTCATGCTTTGATGTCTGACTCTACTGAATAGGCTCTGAGCAATAGATACTCGATATCTTACTCAATCCGAGCAGTGAGCAGAAAATTCTTAGCATCAAAAATGCTGTCAGCATATGATGTTTGGCACATATTGCTTTGAATGTCTAATGCTATTAGCAACTGATATTTGGGATTGATCACCTCAAATGTCTAAAGCTTTTAGTATATGATGTTTATCACTTAATGAATGTTGAATATTGCCTTCAGTATGAAAGGTCTGTGATGACTTGAAAATAAAATAATTTCTTAACGCTCATTCCAAAAATAACTGTTAAAATCCAAACAACTTTGTTTACGCATTTAACATGATCAACCTTGCATATTGACCCTGAATTTGATAGTACTTTAATGATCACCTGATCAAATCATCCCCATGCAACATATTGCCTGCTCTTATATCTAAAAAATGCAGGTTTACATCCTTCCCCTCTTTTATGAGAAATTAGTTCACTAAAGATTATATTTTTTCACCAATTTCTCTAATTCCTGGACTCTGTCGTTGAAAATCGCCAACTGAGCCAAGACCTCTTCACCACCAAAACCTAGCGTTAGACTACCCTCCAAGTCTGTTATACTCGTAAAGGAAATATTGCCACCTCGAGTGACTAAATATAAATGATTAATGTTATGTTCCTCTAAAAATAAGTGTAATGACTTAGCCAAATTTTCGGCCTCGTCGCAATGTTTAATATGATTATCTATGTCTATGCTATTTATAAATTCGTCTATATTAAAATCTAAACTAATGAAATTATCATCACCAACGTTCATACCCTCCAACTCTAACTCCTTCGCGCCAGCCAGAGAGTTTTCATCCACGTCCTGAGACCTTTTCACCATAAATTCGTCCAGTATCGCCGTTTCTTCGGTCAACTCGTTTGCTATTGCTTTATCCCCAGCGAACGGTTCGAACTCCGCGTCGTTCAACCAGAAGTTAAAGTCGACCTCGTCCTCTAAGTTACCACCAGGGTTCAGCGGCGAGTTTTTTAACGGTTCGCCACTTATTGGTGTTTTGGGAGTCGTGGACGGACTCGGGATAGAAATCGGACTGTCCGCTTTCCCACTTACTCGGTCCTCTTCGCCGACGGCTTTCCTCTTCAAATTGTTGGGCTTTGTTCCACCATCGACTGATGTAGAGGAAGTCCACCTCTTCTTGTCTTTGGCGGTACCAGTACTCTTCATCGTACCGGTATCTACTGGTGTATTTTTTAACTTCTTCGGCTCGGGAGCTGGTGTGGGGCCAGAAGACTTCCTCTTCCGTGATGGTGGGCTTTTTGAGTTGTTGTTCCACCATTCGGAACACCCATCCATCTTCGTCGTTGGCATATATCCAGGATCTGAGAGCGTCATATCCTGGTTTTCGCTCGCACTCTTCCTGCCACTTTTTAACTCCATCTTTCTCTTCTTCGTCGAGGGAGTGGCAGATGTCTTGGAACCAGCGTATCTCCGCTTCGTTTCGGCACAGGAATTCAGGGTATGGGGTAACTCCTGTTTCTTCCACTGGTTTTTCCTGATCTGAGGACCATGTTGTGGCTGTGTCGACCGAGGCGACTGACTCTTCGTCTGAGTCGGAATCCCACTCGAGGATAATCTCTTCTTGGTTGATTCCTCGGAGTACTGATTTATTTCGCCTTTTGGCAGGCCTTTCCCTGCTAGCTTTCTTCCCCTTTTCAAGGTTTGGACCTGTAGTGGTGTTAATCTGGTAGGCCCTTGCCCAGTGGAAGAGGTCATACTGCTCTGGAGTGCTGATTGTGGAGCAGTTGTATATGGCGGCGAATATGGGGAATGTTTCATGGATGGTAGAGGCTGGTTGCCCCCAGTTGGTGATCTCTTGGTGTGGGATCCAGAAGGTGATTGCCCGTTGCCCATCCCTTCTGATCTCCATGATCTTTCCTTGGACGTCGAGTTGATATTTCCAGTCTGTGCAGGAGAGCATTTGATACTGGACTGTGTTGATTCTTTTTGGCCAATATGCCTCGAGGTACTGGTAGACTTCCTGGCGGTAGGCCCAGATTGTGAGCCTTTGCCCCTGTTCCTCTCTGTGGGCAGTGTAGAAGTGTTCATTGGCTTCGACTTGCCAATTCTTCGAGCTAATGAGCTCGACGAATATTTCTGGGGTAAGTTGTTGTCCATTGATTTGCATTGGTAGAGGTAAGTGTTTGATTTAAAAGTGGTTGTTATAAGAGTTGTTTGTTCAGTTGCTGATGAGAATAACCTTGCTTGCTTGAGTGTTGCTAGCTTGGTATTTTCACTGATGTGAAGATGAGGTCAAGGCTGGGGGAAAGGGTGTGTTTATATAACTTTTCAAAGTTGGAGTGTTACATTACACCAATTTCCGCTGTATGAGCAGCCATGATTCACTATCAATTGTTCTCATTAATTCGTGTTAATTAACTTCCCTATCTTTAGATGACAAGGTCAACTTGTTTACATCTGCTGACAAGGTTATTAATAACTTGTACCAATGAGAGTGCAATGGAAAGTTCTTTCATCGCTCATATGCCAAGAGTTTTACTGATTTTAGAGAACAAGTCTTGTAAAATCAACTCTATACAAGGGGTATGTAACATTATCGATGACTCAAAGTCTTATCTTTTGTTTCACCTATCTTTTCATGGAAGACAATACTAATCGTTCATTAAACAAATTAATTGTTTTAGTTTCAGATTAATTTCGTCTAACCACGCGAATCAATCAATTATTGAGACAATATGCCGAGTAAGAATTACAACAAAGTTCATCGGCGTTACTCACGCGCCAATTACTAATTATTGTTCATCAAACTCTAGGGGTACTTTAGTCTTTTTGTCTTGGTAAGACGTCCGACTATTTCCGCGAACATATTGTTGTTCCAAATCTTCAATAAGGATAGCCAATATCCCTACGTCCGATTTTTCACCATAAGTCAACAAGCGTTTTCACACTTATTGTATGCCAATTAGATCGATTCGTCGATGAAATGGCACGGAATTTTGCCAATAAAACTTAAGTCTCGATTATGTCACAATAATATGGCCTTGCATGCCTTGAAAACTTCCTCATGACTTCGCTTGGCGTCGTCACCTTCCAACTCTTAATCAATCACTCTTTGTGTACCGCGTATATTCCACCGGAATCTTTCCTATTTCTTACTTTAGGGTTTCTACCAATTGAAATCACCCGTTTCGGAAATTAGGTTTCAACCAGTTTCATATCTTAGTCAAATTTTGTGACGATTTGTTGGCTGAATTTGATATCGTTTTCATTATATGTGACATCAATTTGTCAGCTCCGAGCTTATTCGACAAATTTGATTGCCGATTGATCGGAACTTATTGTAATCATGTGCACTAATCGATGAAAATCATTCGATTTTGAATGTGCAACACGAAATAATTTTGAATCGTATACCCCCTTAAATTCCTTTCCTTGTCGAATTAAAATCGTTTTTTCCAATAACGATTTTCTAATATTCAAAATTATTAAAAAAAAATTTAAAATATTATAAAAAACGTGGGTTGCTCCGATTTCTCGTCCGCCCAATCCTATCCTTCCTTGGAATCAATCCAAGTCGGACCTCAACATCGCAGACGTATAACCTGCGCCTAATATACTGGATGGTCTCGACCGCAAAAGTAAACCTAATCGATCTTAATATTCAACCGCAGAATTCTGTTGTTGTAATATTCGAAAGATTAAGTATTAACCATGCAGTCGCTGCCACACAATATATTAGTGAAAATTATAAAAATTTTCTAAATTTTTTCTGATGTTTTTTCGGCATAAAAATTTCTTAGTTTAGGCTCTTTCACAGCAATCGCTGGTCCTGGCCGAAGACAGGTATCGGAGCATAAGTCCAATAATGTAGGGGTATACAAGTTCAATTCATTCAGCCGCTAGAGTAAGGATTTTTTACCTTGCCCAAGGGTCCTGCGGTGCAACACCTAACAGTTTATCTTGTTCGCGCTTCGCGTTGCAAGAAAGGCAAGACTAAGTGCGGTATACTCTCAAAGTATATCCAATTAAATGCAAATCAGACATTATGAAAATAATGTTGATGATGTTTGAATAAAAATACTATGTCTAAAATAATCGTTCGTAAAAAAAAATAAAAAAAAATAGAATCGTTTCAAAAATAATAGACGCACCGAGGCAATCAAAGGACTAATTCTTCGCATGGCGTCGAACCCTTTGACTAAGATCAGAAGTATCTAATCGACTGATGGATAACAGTACGATTAAACATCTTCATCACTCGCATCTATTTGTCGAGGAAATTCGGTCCCTTCGTGGATGCCTTCTAATTGTTCAATTTCAACCATCGGTTCGCCCCATCGACGTTGAATAATATATTTTCTGAATTTATCGCCTGAGTAAGCCGTTTTTAATTCGACTCCAGTTTTTCGATCTTTCACGTAATAGGTACCGTTCTTATTTTTTCGCATAATGATAAACGGTCCTTCTAGTTTCGGATCCATTTTGTCACGTGGTATCCGTCTAAGTACTTTTTTATCGATCCATACTAAATCTCCGACTATATAGGATTGTCCTATTAGTCCGCGATCGTAGTACTTTTTCTGTATTTTCTGGCGCTCTCTAATATTTTCACGAGCTTGAACTCGATTACTAAGTATTTCGATTAATTGTCCTAATCGTTTTTGCAGATCTTTGGGATTTCCGATTCTAGCCAATCGTTTGTTGAGCGGTGTAACCGCTTCATACCCATGTAATAGGTAAAATGGCGTATACTTAGTAGTTGATTGTCGGGTCGTACGATAGGCGAATAGTGCCGTAGCAACATATTCTTCCCATGTATTACCGTAATCTTCAATCAATTTTCGAATGGTTCCAGCCAATGTCTGGTTCATTCGTTCGACTTGACCGTTTGCTTGCGGATGGTACGGTGATGTCAAAATATGCGTCATAGATGTCTTTTTAGCGATATGTTTTAATAATTGATTATTAAATTCAGCGCCTTGATCGGTCACTAATTCGCTTGGGACACCATGTCTGCAAATTATTTCATCGACCACAAACGATGCTACTGTTTCAGCTCGTTTGTCACCAATCGCTTTAGCTTCTGGCCATTTAGTCAAATAATCGATTGATACTACTAGGTATTGATTACCTTTAATGGTTCGTGGTAATGGTCCAATCAGATCGATTCCCCATTTTTTCATTGTACCGATTGGCGTAATCGATTGTAATGGTTCAACTTTCGTTGGATTTTTCATTTTCTGGCAGGTTTCGCAGGATTTTACATACTGTTCGATGTATCTTCCCATTTTTGGCCACCAGTAATGTTGGAGTATTTTTTGTAAAGTCTTTTCGAATCCGAAGTGTCCGCCCATTGGATGGTCGTGGGCGTACGATACGATTTGATCGACTTCTGGCGATTGAATAACTAACAAATATTTGCCGTTATTCTTTCTAAATAGACGATCTTCCAATATCGTATAATTAACCGATTGTTGTGGTATGCTACGAGGTACATGTCTTTGGTTTGGATTTTGTAAATAGTTATAGATCTGTTCATATTCAGTAGTGTTCATTTTCTGAATTTTGAGTTAGGGAGCGGGTATATTTATACTTATTTTTTCCCGTCCGATTTTCTAATACTAGACAGTTACGTACAATCGTTTAATAGCCGTTCCAAAAACTAGCAAGTTCTGGGTAAGCCATTATACAGTCGTATGGTAATCCGTCTTGTAAAAGATTGTCAATAATGTTCACTCGTCCGCGTTTATAAAATAAACATTGGAGTAGAGTTACTTTGTTAGGGCAACGGGACAAAATATCCGCTAACTCATTATCCTTTCCGGGGACATGTATTAACTCGAAATCGAATCCGGTTAATTCTTCGATCCATAGACCTAATCGTATGCTGTCTAATGGTCGGTTTTTGAACGCACTTAGTAGTGGTGCGTGATCGGTATAGACTTTAAATTTGGTACCCCAAACATAATGAGAGAACCATTTTTTGACCGCTTCTCTGACTGCAAGAGCTTCTTTGTCAGTCATACAGTAATACGGTTCTGCGCCATGATATACTCTGTGAGCGTACATTATCGGCAATTCATCTCCTTCAGGCGTTCGTTGTAACAATGCTGCACCGATTCCAGCATCTGAGGCATCTGTACGTATTATATATTCTCGACCAGGTATTGGGTAAGCTAGTCGGATTCCGCCTTCCTCAATAGTCTTTTGGAATACGGATTTTAATTCTTGGAACGCTTCATGATGTTTCTCTTTCCAAATACGATCATTCTTTTCTTTCTTTTTAATCCATCGTCCTTTTCGTGTCGGGTGTGGTGTACGCGTTTCAATGTATTCTTTGAGTAATTCACTTAGCGTACTGACGATGTCCTGATATTTGTGTATAAATTTTCGATAAAAATTACAGAGTCCCAAATAACTCTGAATAGTTTTCAATTGGACTCTTTTGCCAAGCTCTGGCTCGGGGAAATTTTGTATAGCTTCAATTATTCGCGGAGCGGGTTTCTGAGCTCCGTCACTTAGGATAAATCCTAAATATTCTGTTTCGAGTTGAGCGAAATGACATTTTTTCTGTTTGAGTTTCAAACCGTGTTCGTTAAGTCGTTCCATAACCGCTTTGATATGCTGTAGGTGGTCTTCGAAAGTCTCTGAGTATATTAGTATATCATCGAGATATACCTCACAGAAATTTTCTACTAACCCTCTAAGCGTTTTGTTCATCATTCTTTGAAATGTCGCAGGTGCGTTTGTTAAACCAAAAGGCATAACGTTAAAGTAGTATTGTCCGTAAGGACATATGAAAGTGGTGAATTCTTTACTATCCTTGGCCATGGGGACTTGCCAGTATCCACTAGCTAAATCGAGCGAGGTAAAGTATTTAGCCTTACCCATTCGACTTATTATGTCCTCTATCCGCGGTAACGGATATCCATCTTTTATAGTGACTTGATTAAGTCGTCTATAATCGACGCATAGCCTTAGACTACCATCTTTCTTCTGAACGATTACTACTTGAAATCCCCAGGGTACACTAGGTGGAGATTCTGAGATTACACCTGTTTTTAGCATTTGTTCGATTTCGGCTTTAAGGAACTGTTTCTTAACGGGCGGCATTACTCGATTGGCTTCGTGTATTGGCGTATAATCTGTCAATCTTATGAAATGTTCGGTATGATTGACCGTCGTATTAATGTCATTCGATTCTTGTCTGAAAATATCAGCATATCCTGCCAATAATTTAGACAATTGTTCTTTTTGTCCATTCGAAATTTCCCTTCCGTTGGCTTGCATTATTTTGAAGACGCGTTTGATAGGGTTTTTGTGTTCAGTTCCAGAGGAACCGAATCCTTTGTTTCCTCTTTCAGCAAGTTCTTCATTTTCTAATTCGGCATCAACGCGTTTATGGATTATGAGCTGAGCTACTTTGTCACCAGGATGGACTTCATAGTTGGCTAGACTTGTCTTAAGGATTACTTTGATTTCTCCAGTAAATCCTTCGTCTAAGACACCTCCAAGGACTTGTATTCCTTTTAGAGCTTGTGAAGACTTGGTTTCTAATTTCCCATAGTGCCCTTTTGTATAGCATAGTTTAATATGAGTAGGTACTATTACAATACCTAACTCATCAGCTTTACAATGTTCAGCAGCAAATATATCCCATGCTGCATCTCCTTGATGAGCTTTTTGGGGCATTATGGCGCGTTTTGAAAGTAATTTAACTTGGAAAGACTTAGCAAAATTTGCATTCTGCCAATCTTGGTTAATAACCTTTGCAGGTTTAAACCATGGATGTATAGTATGATCATTAATTAGAGACTTTAAAAAGTCGTTTGGCAGTTTAGAGAGATAGTGTAAGACTAGGAACCAGTACTCACATCTATCACAACTTTGGTCATCTTCCAATAGAGAATATTCTCCTTGAAAAATACACCAACATGTTGCATAAGGTCCTTTCCAAGAACGAACTCGGATGGGGTCCTTAGTTTCTCTTCTAAATTTATTCTGCCAATATCTAATAGATGACCATGGAATAAATTTGTGATCAAATTTAATTCCATTCTTACTCCATTCCAATCTTACTTCCACGCCTTTATCTTGGATGATCATGCAACCAATTTGTTCAAAATCAATGTCTTCATCAGTGACTTTTTCTTGAAGGTCAACTTTCATAGGGTCTTCAGGTTTGTCTTGTTTGTCTAAGTCCATAGGTTGGCAGTCTTGGTGAGCAAAATAGTCGTCCACTTCTTGAATTCTTTTCTTAAGAATAGTGTTCCATTTTGTTCTTAATTCCACATATTGTTTATGATTGTTAATTTCTGGGCCAGGGTTATAATAATCATTATGCACTTGATTAATCGAAATTTCTCCTGCTTTCATCCTTTGCCATCCGTTTCTATGCCTATCTGCCAACTGTCCTCTGCCTTGCTCTTTAACCCTTTGTATTTCATCACTTAGTAACCTAAATGGAATACAAAATTCGCAGTCATTATCTTCTCCTGCAATGGGTGGAGCACAGTCAGGGTAGTGGTATCTAGGATGAAACTTATGGATAGGCTTGGGATAGTCTAGGAGAGTTTCTCCCTGATTCTGTGGCCTTTGTGGAATTTCCTGTCGCGTTTTTCTTCTTTG